GTTGAGTTTTATACTCTTAATGAAATTTGTAGCTCATTGAGTGGGGTGTCTTAGTTATGGGAGCACTCTTGACAAATTTCACCTATGTGGGTGTCAAAGAAAGGTTGCTTCTATGAAAATTGAATAGGCAATTTTCTAGATCATCCATGAAAATCGAGATCATGTGCAAGGCCATAATGTGCCAGTATTGTGAAAAACTCAACATTCGGATCATTATGTGTGTGATACGATTCTTACTTCTTCCAATGGGATCATAGTTCAAGACATAGTTTACTATTGACTTTGGATTAAGAATTGTTGACTCACTTAGTAAAGGTTCAAGGTTTACCTGCTTTTATTATGCATAATAATCTATCTTTACTCAAAAGAAAGTTTTATTTTTTATTAAAATAGTGGGGGAATTGTTGTAACTTAAATATTTTAATAAAAAAATATTTTATAAATTGAATTTACTGTTTCATTAAGGACTTAGTCAAACTAGCTGTTGTAAGTTAATTGTCTTACTTAAGGGTACATTATTAGATAATAATTGCCCAATTTATTCTTATCATTAACCTACAAATGAGAGTTACATGACTATGAGTCCTATAAATAGAACATGTCTTTTTGCTCAACCAGAGGAAGTTCCTCCATATTCTTTTACTTTCTTACCTTACTTTTTCTTCAAAATATTTTTGGGCAAAAAAGGATGTTTTGAGTTAAGTGACTCTATGAGTAGTGCAGGTTCATAGAGTGTTATTATAAGGCTGTAGAATCCTGGGGGTGGCATGCTAAATATATTTCTACTGCACCGATTGATCTACATTCTGTAGATACGTGAATCACCTTAAAGTAAGTAAGTTTTTCATGTTTATTTTGTTGATATTTTCTTATTAATATTTCTTGACAAGTTTACTAATTAATATTTTATTTGATCTTGTGATTAAGGCACGACAATGACATGATGTGAAATGGAGGAAAGTGTAAGAGGAACAACAATAACAAGCATATAATAATAAATTTAATAAAATTAAAATCTATACTATATTTATATATTTAATAATTATAATTAATAATTTTAACATTTTAAATGCGAATGTTATCAATATTTCTTGACAAGTTTACTAATTAATATTTTATTTGATCTTGTGATTAAGGCACGACAATGACATGATGTGAAATGGAGGAAAGTGTGCGAGGAAAAACAATAACAAGCATATAATAATAAATTTAATAAAATTAAAATCTAT